ATTACTAGGTCTTGTGATCCTTCATCTATGCTCATACTTCTTTGTGATGGAGCCCGCATTAGTGGTGACTTTTCAATAATTTCGATTTCCGCACTACAATTATTGATAGGACATGTAAACATAGTTTCTCTAAGGTTTTCAAGACAAAGATGATGCACAGTATGACCACATATTAATACAGTGAATGACTTTTTAAGTATGTGCAAAAAAATTTCTTCATTGCATATAGAACACAGATCTAGTTCAGGAACTTCAACACCGCTTGCAATAGTTTCGGAAGAGCCATTTTTAAGAATATTTAATGTGAGGGTTTTAAGGCATGTAATATTCATACTTACAATTTTTTGGTTATGTTGCTATATTTCAAGCAAATAATGCATGTTTTATAATGTCTCATGAAATGAGGATGCTCCGCATCTAGCAATTTTTACAGATCAACATATCTAGGCGCAAAACACTACAATCAAAAATTAGTAATTTCGGATTTGGCGATCCGTTCATTCACGAATTAATTAGTATGAGCCAGGATCACTAGATCTTTGATAGCAATCGTGAAAAAAAGGGGCATACACTTCATAGATTTTTATTTTACATCAACACTTTTCTACCTGTGTTAAAAATCTTCTAAGTTATCTCGAATTTTCAAGTTTATTAGCATTTTGATAAAACCGATCTTGAGCATGTTTCATTAATGGTTTACCTGGTTGATAAAGCCATTTCTTCACTGCTCACTGGATTATTATAGCTGAATTTATTTGTTTTTTCCATAAACAATATGCTCGCTGGATGATAATAGCTGATCAATTTTTTATATACAGAGCTTTAAAATATGCTACTTGGATTAAAAATTCTCTAAATTCAGAGTTATTAGCTATGGATTCATTACTAGTTAGATTGTTTTTTATGCGGAATACAAAGTTTTTCCAATGATTCTTTCTATTAATATCATATTCTAGTATTAATAAACGTTTACGTATATATATAGGTGGATAATACTTTGCAAATCGTAACCAAGCTTCTGGTGTTTTAAAATTATTGATATAGTTTAAACCATATTCGGTTAACATGTATCGGGTATAATTATTACGGAGTAATGAGACTTCGTCTTTATTTTTTGTCCATTCTTTAACAATATCGTGAATATTAGACATATTTATATTTCAAATATGTGGATTTTATTAACTAAGACTTTTTATTTAATTGTTATATTTATTTATTATCAATTATAAAAAATAGATTTATACATTAAGTAGAACAATTTAGTAAGATATTTATTTCTCTAGAATTTTGAATTGGATATTTATTCTTATTAAGAAAAAAATTTATTATAGGAAATGTTAATATTTTCATTTGGCACATTGAGTAGGCTAGACTCGATGATTCCGATTGCATTCTAAACTAGTAAGCTGTACATTTCCTTTAATATGTCTCAATTCATTATTAATTCTATCTACTGTCCATTGGTCTGGATTTCTAGCTTTGTCCCAATCCCATAACAATTTATTGAGACATAATTTACATTTATTTTTCTGCGAATCTTTTAATACAAGAATATAATCAACAGATAAGTTAAATTCATAACCTTTTTTCTTATCTTGATTCATATATCCTACGAGTTTTCTAGAAATAAATAGTTTTAAAGATCGCTCAATTGCTTTCTTATTTTTTGCATCTTTAATCTCAGAAGATAATGGGGGACCTTCAATTCGAATAAGTTGGCCCAAATATTCTACATGACCAACTGCAAGATAAATTAGATTATCTCATGCCAAATGTTCATTGATAACCCAAACTCGTTGTAGAGCTTTGAGAGTCATTCCCTGACTGATATAAATGGTCATTGCATATAAACCATATTTTAGTTGAAAGTTTAATAAATCGCAAAGTCGAGGCAATGACCCAACATGTGGAAATTTTGATTATAGGATGAATTTTTATTCGATAATAAGCTTGCTGTAGAGCAGAATTTATTCTAATATCTTGGACAAATTCTCGTTATATGGTACCAAATCGCTAATTCTAATTTATTTATTAATTATTTGAGGTTCTCTTTAGAAAATTTTTACATTCACATCGCTTATATATTCCATCCACTACTATTTTGCATGTTTTACAATATAGGTGTGAATGGTGATTGCATTCGTCACAAACCTTATACCCATGCTTCCATCCTCTAAAGATATGCCACTTTTCGATATAATTTCGGCTTTTTTTATTTGTATATGTATTGTTATGATTTTTTATCATTGTATATATTAACAGAAAAATATAATGTAGCTAAAACTTTTTTATTATACAAACCTGCCCCACCTTACATGCATAAACCTTAGGTCAAGATCCGTACATGTTGATTGAATGCCTATCGCTATATTTAACAATATTGCAG